TGATTAATACAAATATAAAATGTGTCATTCAGCAGATTGATATTATATATCTATATATAATAGACCAGTGAAAGTAATTCGAGATAAAAATAATAATATTGCTAATAAGACTAATAATATTTATTAGGTGGCCTTTTGACCAAATCGAAGCATGACGGGGGAAAAATGTTAAAAATCGGAATTTTCGGACACGCGGAAAGAAAAAAGTTCCACTTCATTCTTGTCTCGTTGATAAAGGCCACAGGTGTGTCCGAAAATTCAGGTTTTTTAAATCTTTCTAATCATACTTCCATTTGGCCAAAAGACTGGCTAATATACAATAAATATTTATCTTATTATCTAGATTATTATTTTTGTTGTGTTATCTCTCAAATTCCTTACATCAGCCAACTATATCTACATATTATAAGAAAAAATACGTTGTATTTTCAATTCCAATTCTTTTATTATACTATCTCCTTAATAGTGTTTTATTTTCTCATATTCTCTAACACTCAGTAACCCTTTAAATCTTAATGGCTTTATTGCCTTGTTTGAGGTGAAATGATTACGCACACACACACACACACATAGATATATATTTATGAAATAACAATATATAAATTTTTACATATCAAGAACAATTTTGAAGGAAAATATGTAAGTGGTAAAAGTTTTCGTGTGGCGCGTTCCGCCCTTTAGGACTTCATCGAACTAAATTTGTTACGTTGACACGATTACGCATGCGCACGGGCGAGGAATGCTGGGAATTTTAATTTTTTTAGTGGCTGTATAAAATCTAACCGATTTCATTTAGAATTTTTAAAAATTTCTTTTTGCTTCATCACTTTTGCTATTAGATATTCCAAACTGTAATAATAGAAAATCTTTCAGGAATGGTAAGATGTTGTAAAAGCCAGGGTGCAAATTTACTATGGATGACCTTGCTATCAAGGCGCCCTCTCGGCATTTACGTCGTAGTGAATTGTTTTCTCCTTTGATCAGAGTAGAAACTTGATGCCAAAATTGTGATCAGTCTCGTTACGGTGGGTAACCAACACACTTGTATTATTTTGTAAAATATCCCTTCTGTGTTCATGTAATCTTTTATTTAGATTTCTTGAGGTTTCTCCTATGTATTTTTTGTGACAATTATTACAGGCGATGGAGTAAATTCCTCCTTCGAGTTTGTTTAGTATTGACTAAGTTTTTTCTTGTTTTAGATGTAGTAGTAACACATTTTATGTTGAGTTTAGAAAAGTTCTTTTCCTCAACCTAACAAATTTAGTTCGATGAAGTCCGAAACGTATCACACACCCCATTCTGTACATACACATTATATATATATATATATATATATATATATTATATTTTTATTATAAGAGATTTAAAAACATGTTGAAATCTGGATATCCATTTCATGTTTCGATACTATGATTGTATTTTTTATGCGATTGTAAGTAATCAGTTACTTACCATCGCCTGAAGAAGTACAATCATAGTATCGAAACATGAAAGCTTTTGTGTAGTGATTTCAACATGTTTTATTATAAATATAGTAATAATAATAATTACATATTGCTCTACTTTGTATTTAGCACTCTTTAAAAGGAAATGCTACGAACAGTGGATTTTTACTCCATCTGTTATTTCTCTCATTTGGATATATATATATATATATATATATATATAATTTTTTTCCTGGATATATTGAATTTTCGTGAATATCTTTTTTGTATAAGTATTTATTAAAATTAATTTATTCCAGTCAACGGTCCCAATTTTCTGCCATTTGATGTGAATTAAACTCTTCCCAAATAAGGCACCAATGAATTCTTCATGTCGCTAAATCAACTGTTCCTTCTGACGCTGCTAGCAGACGTAATATTAATTAAATATTTCATTTCACTTGTACAATGACCTAAACATAAGGAATTTATTTACTGCAGTATAATAAATAGTACAGTTCTATAGTATTGGACATTCATCAGACTATAATGTATATCTAATCTCTGTTGCAGACACCTGTTCAACAACATTTGTGTTTTCACATTACCCACAGAACTAAACTGTAGTTTATACTGCGGACCTTAGTTGCAGTCTCACGACGGGATCGTATAATCTCGCGTCACCAGTAATTGCACAAGGCCAGTACATTGAAACCCTCGGTCACGATGACTTGTTACTTCGTGTTAGCACAACCATCAACGGTTTCCGAATAGTTCATTCACAAGGCTTAGGGTCAACTCGTGGGTATGATTTTTCAGACACTTCGCAACGAGAAGGGAGAAATAGTTGCCCACAAAATTATTCATGGCGTGATTCAAACCAGGTGCCCTACGGTCAAAAATTTAGCGTTAATATTAAATGTGAAACAAATATTTTCGAACTTCATAAAATTTTGACCGGCAACATAGTAAATGTCTCTGGAAAGAGCTCAAAGTTTGTCTTCATAATGTGCCGTGGCCCTTCAGGACGTGGGGAATCATGACTCTCCACAACTTCCTATCCTTTGTAGCTTAAAGCAATGCTTATTAACGCTTTCAGTTCATATTCTGGCATTCAGTATGTCCCCCATAAGTGACAAACTCTCCAAGCCTTCTTTCCTCATAATGTTCCAGAAATTTCAACTATCGTTTTATGATTCTAAATACAGTGCAACCTCGGTTTTCGAACGTCTCACATGTCGAGCAAATCGGTTTACGAACAGAAAATTCGAGATGAAAATACCTCGGTTATCGAACAAAATTTCGGTTCTCGAACAACATTGCTGAACCTAGTCAACCCGAACGAATAATTTCCGAGTCTGTTTCTGACCACCGTGTTGTATACATTCGTGTGTTGCGGTGTACTTTTTTTAAAAATTTTATTGTACTGTGACTTTTTTTTTTCTCTACATTGATTCCTATTGGAAAAATAGTTTCGGTTTACGAACATTTCGGGTTACGAACGGCCTTCAGGAACGAATTAAATTCGTGAACCGAGGTTCCACTGTATAAGTGTCATTTTGTTCCGAGCTTCCTCGTTGTTAACATGTTGCATCCATAGTATTCTCAGAATCCTTCTTTATCCGCGAGGAAGTTGTCCAGCAGATACTAACTTTTAGGAGGGCTGGTATTACAGTTCAGCACTTTGTTTCTAACGAACATTTCCAGTTTCTTAATACTTTGCTTAGCTTTTGGAAGGCATCTTTCTCTATTCCAATGCGCCTTCGAATTTCGGTGCCACATTTTCCGTCGTCTGTTAAAAACACTTACAGTGTCATTTTAAGGCCATGTAAATAATTTATCTTACTCGCCATTTGCTCAAAACGGATCTTTCAGCTTGATAAAATAAATTTAGCATGATGCCTAAAAAAACTGCCACAGGAAAAATACATTACCAGATTATGATATGATTTCCATATATCACTATAACCATATTACAATAGTATGTCGTAAGAATTATAATAGCAAGTCATAAGAATAGATTCACAAATAGCTATACGGTCAGTATGACCATATTACTAGATATCAAATGATCATATGGTCAAACGGCTATCATATCCAAGTGACTAACTTAATATTTTGATTAAATGATATGACCAGATCACCATGTAATATTATAACCGTATGACCAGATTACATTGTAGTACTATGACTAGGTAAACGTATGATCATGTGATATGATGACTAGATGATCATGCGATATGATGACCAGATGGTCATAAGACCAGGACCGGATTATCCTATTACCTAAAGCTTGGGTATAATACTGGTTATACAAAAACTGCTTTTTCTTTTCTTTTTTTTTATACAGCTATGTTGCAATATGTACTAATTTGATTTGCAATAGATAATAAAATAGTGGTATTTCTTAAAGAATAATTTTTATCGACAAATAAGAGATAGCTATTCTAGCTTATTTAAAGAATTTGCATTAAGTTTACTTCAAGCTACGTAAATGTCGCCAAACTATATCTCGAGTAAAATATATTCAAAACAGGCACGGACGAGGGTGGCTAGGTCTGAGGTGGCGACATAATTTCATTAGCCAAGGGGCACCAAAAGATCATATTCCGGCTCTGCATATGACTGTGTAGGATGATGACCAGATGGTCATTTGACCATGTGATTTGATGACCAGATGAACATGTGATATGATGACCAGATGTTCATACGATCACGTGATATGACCAGATTGCCATATGACCATTGTGACATGATGACCAGATGGTCATGTGATATGATGATTATATAATCATACGATCATCTATTGGATCATATGATATATTGATAAGATGACCAAATAATGATGAAAAGATAAAATGAGGCGTGACTGCGACAGGAATTATTAAAAGAAGCAAAAAGAAGTTTTCGTTAAAAATTTTGTTTATTTTGAAGCTCCAATCCAGCTTTTGTGTTTTATTTTTTTTTTTATAATCAAAGATCGAAATACCATTTTTTTGCTTTAAATTTACAGTAAAAACAAAGAAAAAATTACGAGGGGTACAGAAAGCGGAAAATATCACATTTTTTTTAATATTTTAAAACAAAAAAATGATTAATAATAACCAAAAAGGTAAGAGAAACATTATATATATATATATATATATATATATATATATATGGAAATGGAAAAAAAGCTGAAGCCAACATTAAATATTGGACGGAGCCAGTGATTTTTTTAAAATATATTCATGGAAAAAAAACAATAAGAAAAGATAGTGTATACATATAAAAAAGATATATATATATATATATATATATATATATATATATATATATATATATATATGAAAAAATAATTAAAATTAATAAAAATAAAAGCAGAAAGAAACTTCTTCCTCTCAGTTCAATATTTCGCTGGTAGCAGGTTGTTGATTAATTAAGATATTAAGTTATTAATTAATCAGTTAAGGTACATATGTAGGTATCAGGGGAGAGGGAGTAATCATTTCCCCTCGCTTTTTCTCCTTCTATTGTTATTATTATTATTATTAAAAAAAAAGAATAATTTCACCAAACATGTTATCTTATTCATTAGCTAAAAGGAGTCTTGATGTTTTTAATTTCACCAATTGTTTTTTCGGCACCAGTTTTGACTTGTTCTACAACTTTTTCCACTTCCTCTTCACCGGTTCTTTTTACTTGTTCAATTGCCCCTTTGATATCTTCTCCACTTGGCAAGCTGTCCTTCAACTGGCCCAGGGCTCCGAAGGCTCCAGCGGAAGCGTCAGACGCTTCCTGTTTGGTCGTCTCAATGGCGCTTGAAACCTCAGTTTTGCCTTCCGCTACGCTTTTATTAAGACCTTCTACCCCCGAATCGAGATCCTGCTTAGCTGACTGCAGATTTCCCCCGATTGAACTCTTAACATTATCTGACTCTTGCTTAAAGGCGCTGAAACCGGCCGAGACTTCATCAGTGACATTCTGCTGAGCTGAGCCAACACTGCTCAGAAACTCTTGCCGGGCCGTGTTGATGCTGTTCTTGGTATCACTGTAAGTGCTTGTGGCGCTAGAACGCAGGTCCTCATAGCCAGAAACTGCAGCTTGTTTGGCGTCGTTAAAACTGCTAACAGCACTCTGCTTCGCCTCGTTTGCAGTGTCTACTACACTCTGCTTCACCTCGTTAACAGCGGTCGTTGCATTCTGCACAGCGTCATTGGCAGTGTTAACAATGCCCTGCTTGGTTTCTTCGACAGTACCAGCGATACCCTTCTTGATATCACTCACACCCTTTTCCGCTTCTTGCTTGGCATCACTAGCCGCCTTTGTGACTCCTTCCTTAGTTGCACTCAGGCCACCTTCTACCGTATTTTGAGCATCCGTGGCAATGTCTGTAGCACCTTTCTTAACATCACTAATTCCACTCTCAATATTACCTTTCACGTCGGTAGCTACTTCACTGGCTGCTTGTTTCGTTTCGTTAACCGCGGCATTTTTTTTGTGTCCTAGTTTACTAGCATTACCTCCCATTGTTGTGTTATTAGTATTGTTTCTCTAATGGCTTCCTTGACTTATTTCTTTGTTTATTTTGTGCTTAAGTCGTCACTGGTCAAGTCTTGCTTACACTTCGATCCTTCGCGGTAATTATTGCCTAAAAATCTTCAGTTTTTGAATTTGAATCGTTGAATTTATCTCGATGGAAATTTCCTGTCTTTAGACGCTCATCGTCAGTGAAAATGTCGGCCGGTTTCTCTGGAATTCTCTCTCAATGTCCAAACCCGAAAATTCCTGAGGAAAAAAAAAAAAAAGCAAAAACATTAAAAAACAATTTAACAAGAAGTCAAAATGAGATAAAACATGTCTATATTTCTGAGATGAGGTATTATGTACACTATTTACATTATTCGGACTATTGTCCTCATCTTTGTCACCATATTTATCACAACGTTTCGGCCTTTCAGTATCTGTCTATATTTCTGAGATGAGGTATTATGTACACTATTTACATTATTCGGACTATTGTCCTCATCTTTGTTGCCATATTTATCACAACGTTTCGGCCGTTGTACGCTACGGCCTTCTTCAGGTAGTTGGAATGTCGAACTGAACCATTCATTTCGCTCGCTGGGGTAGACTGTTCTAGTTCCACGTGCCATGTCTAATTGATATCAGTTATCAGTTATCTCCTGTTAATTCCTCTCTACAAGTTCTCCACCGCCCTAAATTGGAGAGAGGAATTAACAGGAGATAACTGATAACTGACATCCATTAGACATGGCACGTAGAACTAGAACAGTTTACCCCAGCGAGCGGGTTCAGTTCGACATTCCAACCACCTGAAGAAAGCCGGAGCGTACAACGGCCGAAACGTTGTGATAAATATGGCAGATGAGGACAATAGTCCAAATAATGTAAATAGAGATAAAACATTTTTTTTATTATTCCATACATTTTTGTGGACAACTATCTTCATCTTTGTTATTTCTATGCCAACGTTACGGCCGATAGACGTTAGACTTTCTCAGGCGTAGGAAATATCCGGTAGTCTTTAAATCTTGCTTTGCTAGTATTTGCTTACATTTGAATACCACGTGGGAGCCATTTTTTTTTTCAAAGAATGGCATTTTTCCTTCCCTTAGGCGATAATGGCACTTCAGTTTAATTTTTATTTTATTATCTGGGAAACGCCATGATTTCTTGGGAAATATAGTGGAGCGGTTTTCAGTTGCCTTCTCCACAGTTTTAAATTCAGAGGTTCTTCTCTTAGATTGGTTGCCAACCAAGGTTAAAAAGCCCAATTTTCTCTGCTTTTTAAGAATTATTTTTTCTGTTGAAACCTTTCATATGAAGATAGAAGACAAATTCTTTTTTTCAATTATTTACTTCCTCATCTCGTTTGAAAGGGTTCCCGAGAAAATTTTGAATCTATGTCCTATCAACTTTGGAAGTTGGGATGTTTTGCGAATTGGTTAAAAGAAAAACAAAGCCGATAGTTACGTTCAAGGTCTAAGGAACGTCGCGATAAAAACAACAAAGATGAAGATACTTTCTCCAAAACGCGTAGAAAAAATTTAAATTCTGAAAAACGAAGTCAATATATGCAGAGATAACCATATAAAAAAAATCACTTTTTAAAAAAGAAAAAAGAATATGCACCTGGAATCTTTGAGCTTACCTGTAGAATTAGTACCAGGTAAGAATTAAAAACAAGCTAAAGTTCTTTGTTGATTATTTTTTAAAAATTTTTTAAATTGTTTCTAATAATCTTTCTGGGTTCCGATTTGTAATATATTTTAATATATATATATATATATATATATATATATATATATATATATATACACAGAAGTACTTCCATATGGGAAAATATAATTACAAATACGAGCCAGAATTTAGAAAATAATTAGAAACATTGAAAAAGTAAATAAAAAAAAAAATAATCAAAGAACTTTAGTTGTTTTCTTTTTAAATCAAAAATGCTGCCCAAATACATCCAATATATATATATTTCTTTTTTAAGCATTTCACCCCAAGCAAGGCGGGAAGCCACTAGGACGCAAGGGGTTACAGAAAATTTAGAGCAAGATCAGATAGGAGTGATAGAAGAAAGGATGAGGGTAGTGGATAGATCAAGGCAACTGGAGATGTCGATTGACATTACATTTAAATAGCTGGAGATTATAGCTCACAGGGAAACGGGAATAGGGAAAGGAGTTCCACAGGCGAGAGGTGCGAGACATGAAGCTATTGGAGTAGAAGAGACGGCTACATTTAGGAGTTTCAACAGTGATGGGGGGTTAGAGCGGGATGTGTGTGTGTGTGTGTGTGTGTGTGCGTGAGATAGATAGATAGATAGATAGATAGATAGATAGATAGATAGATAGATAGATATTAGTAGTTTGAGAGAGTAAAATATGATCAGTCTGATACAGGTGAGAATGATTAGACTGAGAGAGGTAACACCTAGTTGAGAAAAGTGAATATAACGCCTCGTTCTTACTATGTTAAAGTCTTTCCAAATTGACCATATAATCACGTGAGATTATATTCTAATGATTATATGACCACATAATACTGCAGCATTATGATCATGTGATATGGTGATCATATGGTCTGGTGATATGACGACTGGGATCATATGACATTGTAATATGATGTCAAGACCTGGACACCTGAGGACAGGAATTGAAAAAAAATGTTTGGATAACACTGTGTAAAACAATTTTTGTCCTTGAGTAGCAACTATTATTTCCTAGTTGCTAATGCCCAGAAAGTGTGAAAAATGTGTAATAATTCCCCAAAACTTTGCTTTTGTGATCCGGATAATGATATTTCTGAAACTTGAGAAAACTGTCGAATGTCAACAGTCTCGACCACGCAAAGTAGAAACAAAACGACATATGATTCAAAAAAAGGCTTTTATTTAGTCAAGAGAGACCACAAATATTTAGAAGTGAGCTTATGCTGTAAATTAATTTCACCGATCAGACCCCAAATATAGACCCCTATTATGCTTTCCTGATACGATCCTTGTTAGCCAGAAAGTTCTAAAAATTCTTGAAACTTTTAGAAACCTCCCGAATGGTCTAGAAATCTAAATCTGTCTAGAATGTAATGGGAAATAGGTTAGTTTCAAAACATTGATGTCCAGGTCATGAAAAGCAAACATTGAAGGGAATAAAAATGATTTCCTTTGCTTTCTAGACAGAGGCATTTAGGAAATAATACATACAGACCAAAGACAAAAACATTAAAAGAATCTTACACAGTGATATATGACTATATAATATATATATCACTATATAATATTGCAATATTATCCTTGGTAGTGGCGTTCAGTCCAGTATATCTTGGAAGCGTTCGCCTTGTTCCTCTGAATATGACCCCATGTTCTTGAATTTATCAAGATGAGTGTCAAGGCTACGGACTTTGAGGAACATCCTGCAGCCCATTTTATCGCAGGTCTTCAACAGGGTTTCAAAAAGATCAACAGTTTTCAGCCTGGTGACATTTTGTTCTTTTTTTTTTTTTTTAAACTATCCCGTTGCTCACATGTTCCGTTCCTGCTATTCTCAGCATCCTCCAGTAAAACCACATCCCTGTTGCTTCAAGTCTCCTCATCATCCGTGATGAAATTATCCAACATTTACTGCTGTATAGTAGGACAGATATTACATAGCATTTCAGATCTATTATACGTGTTTCTAATGATATTTTTTCTTGTTCTTAATACTTTGCTTAACTTTTGGAAGGCATCTTTCGCGGTTTCGACGCGCGTTCTGCTTTCAGTGTCGAAAGGCCTTAGTTTTTTGAAAGTTTTTAATAACGAAAATGTGCCCCTCGACAGGTTTCGTCCCTCATTATATAAAGGAAAACTACCCTATAGCCCGATGTGTTTTTTGACTGCTCAGCCACGACGGCCTTCACAGTAAAGCAAGGATCAATTGCCCTTATGAAGGAAAACCAATTTTCGTACCTATAAACAAAGTAATTTTTCACGAATTTATGATGGATTTCTCATTAGTGTAAACGTTACATTTAGTGGATGCACGTGTTTGGATAGACGTTTCGTTTTTTTTTTGTTTTGTTTTTTTCCAAACAGAATAATTGACTTCCACATTCTTCACCTACTAAGAACAGAAAATTGTGATTTTCTAAGCGTAGCACAGATGTGGCACAAGATCGAAAGTATTGGGCACCCAGTAAGGATCGAACTCACTATTCAGGTGTAATAGATCTAGCGAGAAAAACTTCCTAACCACTATGTCGAAGTGCCCAATGATTTTCTGCCACTGATAGAATAAAGAAAATGTACCTCTGAATATAACATTTCTTCTAAAACTTTATTGCCTTGCGAAGGTATGACTCGATATCCCTACAGGTTTTACCATCGATAAAAAAATCTTAGCGAAAACTTTCTCGATATGAGTATAGTGATGAATAGATGGGCAAATCACTCACCCATAACTACTTTACGGTAAAAACTGTTCCGCTTATTGTCAGTCTTGACAAGGGACAGAAAAACGTATCCATGATCCGCTATCAATTATAAGGTAACGGCTTTTGTTAAAATGGAAAAAAAAAAAAAAAAAAAAAATCAGTCTCATTGTCCCAGATGACGAATAAGTTGTCCCAAAGCTTAAATTAATAATGTCGTCCAAATGGTCCCATTGGCATCATCGGCCTGTCCTGACTACTACGACCTGCAAAATGGTCACGTCTGGAATTCGGCCATTTTAGCCAGGAAGAGAAGAGAGACAATGTAAATGCCATGGGACACGAGAAGTGTATCGGTATGTATTAGTGATGGCGAAAAGTGTTTGCAGATATGAGAAGAGTAATTTATGCTAAAATGTAAAAAGCGATATTGAGTGTGAGAATAATATAAGAAAAAGTGTCAGCATAATCTCAACTGTTCCTCCATATAAAGAGCAGGCTGAAATTTCACACAAATGGCAATGGCCGTTTCCTTCTAAGGAAACATCCAGGACTGACCATAAATTGGCAGCTGATCTAAAAAAAAAATGGCC